TGTCATGGCTCTGCAGGAGGCCAGCGAGGCTTACCTGGTCGGCCTGTTCGAGGACACCAACCTGTGCGCCATCCACGCCAAGAGGGTGACCATCATGCCCAAGGACATCCAGCTGGCCCGCCGCATCCGCGGAGAGAGAGCTTAAACTGCTGCTGCTGCTGCTCCACTCACGATAACAACGGCTCTTTTAAGAGCCACTTCACTGCACTCAAGACAAAACTCCTCCGCTGCTCTCACTATTTACTGACTGATCATAGATCTAGAAGCTTTCATCACCAAATAATCAAACAATATAAGTGATGTTGCTCATGACGGTCATAGTTCAACATTAATTATAAATATAATTAGAATGACAATAAACTCACTGTTTAAATCACATTCTTGATCTTGTTCTGACATCTGACATTATACAATTTTTTTTTTTACCCCCAAAACCTTCTCTCAGTCCATTTTTTAAAAATMTATAATTACAGACCACACTGATTCTGGACAGACATTCTATTATTGTCTGTGTTGATCAGATAACACTGTAAACATCAATGATCAGCTCCTCTGACATTTCATTCACAGCCATGTGTCAGTACAATACAGGAACATTATCAAAAGTTCATTCACAGTTGATTCAATGATTAATGAAATGAAGGGTGGGTTTTTTTTTAAACAATGAAAGAGTAAAACAGCATAAGAGTGATTATATATGGTTCACATAAGGAACAGAGGTCAGAAGGTGACTTGACACAGATAACAGACCTGCACCTGAAAGCATGAAATATGTAACAAAATAATCCAATAAATATATAGACTGAAATCCATGTTTCTGAAACTCCTCATGAATAACACACATCACTGATTCTTGATACATGTGACAAAACACGTCCAGCAGTTCAAACTGCTTTCGGGTTTAAGAATGATATATTTTTGTAGATGTTATGTACCATGTACTTTATATATTTTAATTGTCACGCTTATGACCTTCAATTTAATTTAATCGTTATATCAAATCTATGACACTAACTCACTTCCCACTGCATCTAAAACTGCAGGTCCACAGAGAAGGGTTCAATCATTCAAGTGCATTACAATGGATACAAATATGTAATGAAGGATTGGGGGGTGGGGGTTGGGGTCGACGTCACAYCACACCACTTGTGTTCTGCTGTAGAGACCTTGTGCACATGCACACAGCTCGTGTTAGGGTTAGGGTGTATTGCATTGTTCAGGAACAGGTGACCAGTCAACATTGTGTACCTGCAAACATTAACGTTTGGAACACCATGGCTTTCTTTAAAAACTCATACTCATCACACCCCCAACACAAGTCAGACAAACACCTGGTGAAATTACAGACAGATTCTCAAGAGTCGAAGCTTGTCATCAACACTTCCTCTCCTCTGGTCTTTCATCTGATATGACTTCAGAACCTACAGRTGATTCTCGTATTGTTACTGTTTAAATGAAACCTTAATATCTACCGTCCTACATCCAAAGTCCT